CGCCCAACCCGTTACATATTGAAACATTTAAAAAAAAAAAAAAAAAAAAAAAAAAAGAAAGGGGACTCATAGACGAAGTAGGACTGTAGGAGTCAAAATAAATATGATAACCCACTAACTCTAAATCTCTCCAAGTCTCCAATCGAACCTCAATTTCTCATTCCTTTCCAGACTCCAATCTCTCCCGTTGCAATTCAAAAATTATCTTACAAGTTACTTCCATATTCTATCTCTGAGTCTCGACACCACAATTTGACTATTGCTCTGCCAGAAATTGCTGCAGCCTCTAAGCCTCTATGAATCGTAGCTTTCCATCCTCTAGTGCCTAAATCTTATATTAATTATCTATGGGAATATAGTGTCACTTTGTAATTCATGATTTGTAATTTGTAGTTTGCTAAACTTTTGTAATTTGTAACTTTTATTCTTTGAATTGAATCTAATATGTTAAACCTTTGTAATTTTTGTTCCTGTCTTCCTCTTTCTTGAATTGTGGTCGTTTTGAATCCGAATTATTGATCTCTTTTTCATTGTTTGCTGTCCATTTTTTATAAGTTACAATGCAATATTATTTAAAAGTCCAAACCGAGAAACCAAACCAAATCAAACCGAACCGAAGTGGTTTGGGTTGGTTTGGTTTGAGAGTTAGAGTGGGTTGGTTTTGGTTTTAATTTTACTCAAACCGACTACTTTGGTTTGGTTTTGGGTTGAGGTCGAAACCAACCCAAACCAAACCACGCCCAGGCCTACTATTAATCTTGAAGATTATGCTCGAGATTTTTCACTAGATCAAGTAAGATAAGGAATATTTACATTAGGAACCCTCAACTTTTTCTAAATAATACGTGTGTTTGACAGCCTTTATTTTGCTAAACACCAATTTTTGTTACAGTAAACACATCCAGATTGTCAAACATATGTCATATCAATTTCAAATCATGAGGTAATATTGTATTTGGCCCTTAATTGAGCCCTATTTTTTTTTCAAAACAAATTTTTCAACAGTGATTTGATCTCACTTCAACCACACATTCTTCAATAAAATAGTATTACACATAAATTCATGATTTTTCTTTATTTTTAACCATACATTTCCCATTAATACACTGTTCAAAAAATAATGGGACTCAAAAGGGCAAAGTAGTAAAATGGAATTGTGTCATTAAGGACATAATTGGAAAATCAATTTCCTGATTGGTTGTCAATGCATTTAATGGAGTAATTGTCTGTGCGATGATGTAGAATTTTTTATTAATTGCATTATTTAATAAGTGAAAACTCTTTAAATTGTCAAAATAAAAGTGGCCAAATAGGGCTTAAGTTTTCAATCAATTTTTTATGCCTTTCTCAAACCATTACTAAATTGGAGCATGCTACATGTACATCACCTTGTACATAAGGGTGTGGACACCCGGTGCCTCCGCATTTGCCGAGGCGCCTGTGACACACGAGCCCACAGGCGCCTCGACCAATGCGGAGGCACCGAGTGTCCATAATGAACACCCTTATGTACAAGGTAATGTACAACAAGATTAATCCTACTAAATTAGCCATATAGGTCTCTACTCAATAGATTAATTTTACGTGAGAGTCACATAATCTCTTTATTCAGGAGTACTTATTGCAACCACATATCCTCCTAAATTAAGAAAAAATAAAACACAATCAAACATTATCTTGCACTATCAATATCTGCCTTGTGATCCACCACCCAATGCCCTAGTCTCTAAACTCCCCTCTCGCGATAAGGTGAAGCAAGAAAAATAAAACAAAAAAAATATAATAAAACAATCATTTTTTGCGATAACGTACAAATATCTTGCACAAGAAGATGCAAGTGACGACAGGGGATGGATGATGGTTAATTTTTTTGTTATTTTGCTCAAAGGAATAGGTGGTTGACGAATGTACCAAAAATACATATGACTTTATTGAAAAAAAGTGACAGTCTCCTAGCAAGGAACTATGCACTTAGTCCGGAATGGTTAGGAACTTGAAGGCCTTTAAAAATTGATTGGGGACTCAAATTTATATCCCGTAAAGGTTGGAGACTCCCTCCGAAATTTTTCCTTAAAAAACATTCTAAGAGAATAGAAAATAACAATAATAAAAAAAACTTATTTGATTATTAAAATTAAGTCTGTCTTTGGTTTATATTTATAATTATAGTTATTCAAATCATTTTTTATTCGTATATTTCCAAATATAAACGTATAGAAACTGCTCATATGTATATTAAATAAAGAAAAAATATGATTGTGAGCGTGACAATAATACATCATCACTAAGTCACTTAAATTTATCTCAAATCAGTGGGAAGGCTCTGTAGCTGATATAAAAATCATTAATTTACGAGAAATTAAGAAGCTCAACTAATCAAACCCGACTACTATAAATAGGAGGCCAGCTATTCTTCACACTCCGCAAGTCCCAATCGTCGCCCACTCCGAGAAATAGAAACCAGAAAGCTCGGAATAAGATGGCCACGAAAGTTTATATAGTGTGAGTATTAATCATTTATACTTTTGATATTTTGTAAACTTTAGTTGCGTTTTTTCCTTTTTCGTTTCTTTAATTTTTTTTTCCCTGTTTTGGAGATGGAAGTTAAAGGATTATCATTTAGTTGTGTTTGTTTGTTGTAATTCTTCAATATTTGATTTAATTTTTTTTCGTTCTTAAATGTAAGTTTAGAAGCTGCTGATGCTGTTTTCTTGTTTTTTCCCCTAATTTTTTTTTTTTTTTTTTGGCTATTTCTAGAAATCGGATTCGTATTAGAGGTCTGGCATTTATTTAGTAGTGCTTGGTTGTTGTAATTATTGTATATTTTAATGGGCTTTCTTTTATTTTATTTATTTATTTTTTTTAATGCGAATTTAGAATCTTCTGGTGTTGAACGGCTTCTTATTCTTGCTTGTTGCTAAATATTCTTCAGTGATTCTTAATTTTTTTTCTTTGAATTATTCTTATCTGAACCCAATCCATATGGAAGTATAATGAATTTAATTAGCTGTAGAATGGAGGATTATTTCCTCTTTCACTTAGCACCCTCTTTTTTACCTTCCGTTCCTTAAGTTATTTGATCTTGTCAAAATTCACTTGAACAAACCTGAAATATAATAGTTGATCAAAATATGAATCTCTATTGGGTAAAACAAAATTTAAGTCCGGTCTGTATAATTCTTGATTGTGATGATAGCTTTGAAGATAATATTTAAATTATACATTTGATCACATGTAACAACGTGTGTGTTTAGATCAAATAATTCAACATGGTACATCAGAGCACGCGAAGTTCCAGGTCAAGTCTTGCCACCACCCGTTTATTAAAAATTGTACATGTGTAAGGCTTTTTAAATGGGAATAAATAGTCCCGCCTACATGTGGGAGTGCGTTGAATATAATATTTAAATGATATACATTTTTTGGGTAAAACAAAATTTAAGTCCGGTCTGTATAATTCTTGATTGTGATGATAGCTTTGAAGATAATATTTAAATTATACATTTGATCACATATAACAACGTGTGCATTTAGATCAAATAATTCAACATGGTACATCAGAGCACGCGAAGTTCCAGGTCAAGTCTTGCCACCACCCGTTTATTAAAAATTGTACATGTGTAAGGCTTTTTAAATGGGAATAAATAGTCCCGCCTACATGTGGGAGTGCGTTGAATATAATATTTAAATGATATACATTTTAAACTTTTAGATCAAACGGTTCAACAATTCAACATATAGTAGTACAATTTTGGAACCACATCTCTTTTGCTGATTTTCTTTGGAAGAGCAATCTCTTACTTGTTGAAGTTCGTCTTTTATTGCCTTTCTTACAAATATTTGTTGCAATTACCAATCTAAATTGCTTCCTGTCAATGAATTTATGTGGCCTTGATAGTTCAGCTATTTGCAACATACAAGAAAACCTTTGTTTTTACATCTTAAAGATCTTGTAGTTTGTGTATATTTAAATGCAAGGCATAATCTTTATTTTTATTTATTTATTTTTTTTATCTTGTGTACATATTCTTGGCGAGAAAAGTTTGTCACAAGTTCAGAAAGCTATAAAAATTGTCTGTCTTTGTTCCAAAAATTCTTGTACTGGTTTCCTAGATGTCTTGATGCATCAATTTGTCTGCATTGCAGTTCTGTTTCGTGGGCAAATTTGCTACCTCACTTTGGATTTTTTAATCTCTTATCTTATCCAGTGTCTTTTTCTATCACAGTTAGTTTATTCTCACTAGCCTTATTAAAACTGCCACATATCACCGGGAATTTCCACTGACTGGTGTAATCATTTAAAACTCATGTTAATAATGTGATATATAAAGTCTTTTATGTTGATGTCTATTTAAAATATATTATAATTTCAAGTTGAAAATGACTGAATTCAAGATGCACAATCAGCTTTACTTATTTATGTTAGGATGAGAGCCCTGGTAATTTTTTTCCCACTGCGCTGCTACGTGTGCTGTTGCAAATTAGGAGAAAGTATTGTTGATGAAAATTCCCTGTTGGCTCATTTGGTTCTGTCTATTATATATCTAAAAATTTATTGTTCTTTTTGTACAAAAAGAATGAGACAACCGTATGCTCATTTAAATAGTATCAACATTAACCAGGATGGAATTTTTAATATAAGGTTCTGGAAGGGTTAGACTATTTAAAAGAATGATCTATCAGTAACACCGTAGCTGTATTCAAAGAGAGAAGGTCTTGCTTGAGCCAAAATGCTTGCAGGCCCATGATGGTTCCATCAAGCCAAGAGATGCCTCAAATGAAACAAGGATATTATTTCAGTTTATTGTTCATGAGCATGAAGGTTACACTCAGCCCTTGTTTGAGTCCCATTTTTTTTAAAAAAAAATGAATTCTTGAATAGTGTTTTGACATCATTTCAACCACACATTCTTCAATAAAATAATATTACACACAAATCCATACTTTTTCTTATTTTTTAACCACACATTTCCCATCAATACGCTATTCAAAAATTCATTTTTTTGGACAAAAATGAGGCTCAAACAAGGGCTCAATGTAGATTTCATTATAGGAATTGAAATGTAATTTATCCATTCTTCTCGCTTTTCCAGGCCCTTAATAAATATTCATGATCTGTTTTCCTCCTCTTATAGGTACTATTCTATGTATGGGCATGTAGAGAAACTGGCTGAAGAAATAAAGAAAGGGGCTTTATCTGTTGAAGGAGTCAACGCTAAAATATGGCAGGTAGAAAATATCTTTGCCATCAGACTTCATTGGATTAAAATAAAGTAAATAAGTGAGGAAAGCATCTATTGCCATTGACATTTTCATTGAGAGTGAATCTTGAATTGCATACTTCAGGACTATATATCATTTTGTTAGAAGTTTTATCATATTTGTAAATTGGAACTGTGTCCCAATTGGTATGTTGGGTTTCATTAAAGAGGAATCAAAGGCCTCCAGCCTACGAACAATTTGAATTAAATATCTACCCATATATCTACCTGGGGAGAAAGTAGAGGAACATCCCATGGAATAAACAAGTTGAATATACAAATATAAATAAGTAATTTTATTCCCTTGAGCTTTTAGATTATGTGGTATCGGAGCACGTAAAGCTTCTGATTTCAAGTCTTGCTAAAGGGTTTATGCAAATTCAGTGAGTCAGGCCTTTGTAGGTTACCGTGAGCAAAGCATTTCTAGTATGGATTAGTTATTTTAACTTTTCTAGCTAATTTGGCTGAGCGAAGCTGTAAGTTTTGTCATGAGATGATAAATAAGGAAAATCGGTGAACGGGTCTTTACTTTATGTGGTTTCTCACACCCAAATCCCACATTGTTAGTGTGTTTGTCAATCTAATACTGTATTTGATCTTCATACTTCAAAGTCATGTTGATGTAGTTCGTATGATAATTCTTGGCTACTTACCAATGATTACATCTTATTTATGTATCTTTTACTGGTCGGAAATCTGGTTTCTCATTTTAAGCAATTTTCTTCCTACCTATCCCCCACGGCCCCACCCCTCTCCCTTTGCTATTTTACTCCTGTTTGACAACCATTATTTTAAAATTCTTTAATTCTCATACTCATTTTCAACCACATATTTACACAATAAAATATTTTGTACGTAAATCCAAAACTTTTCCCTTCTTTTTAATCACACATTCTCCAAAAATAATAATCATAATAATAAATAAATAAATAAAAATCACTTTTCAAAACTCTATTTTCTCAAAATAATGGCCATCAGACAAGGGCTTTATTGAGTGATGTCTATATTTCATATTGGCTTGATGAGTTCTTTCAACAAGGGTTTTTATCTTTTATAACTTTGCTGCATATTTCATCTGTTACATGTAGCTAACATTAGCATATATTGTATAACTGTTTGCTCATGGTTCTTCATTTACCACCTACTGAAGTGATGCATAACAGTCACTATTAAATTTCATTGATCTTTTTGCTTCTGTATTCTCTAGTTAATGGTTTTTTTCCTTTTTCCATATTGGGGACCAATGAACTGGGACCGTAAATGGTGGAAATATATGCCTTAAGGTTCTTTTAAATTATGAAAAACAATATGGATGCCATTACGTTGAGACTAGTTTCTCCTTGAGTTCAGAACTGCAACACTGCAGCACAAGAGACACAATGATAACCCTTGAAACTATATGAATTTCTTGACAGTGATTTCCAGTTTATACTAAAAGAAAATAATCTCAATGTTCTGCCACTTGTGTCTTCAACATGGTACAGGTCCCCGAGACATTACCAGATGAGGTGCTAACGAAAATGAGTGCACCTCCAAAGAGTGATGTACCTATCATCAAACCTAACGAACTTCCCGAGGCTGATGGCTTTGTCTTTGGCTTTCCCACAAGGTTCGGAATGATGGCTGCTCAATTCAAAGCATTTCTTGATGCAACTGGAGGCCTATGGAGAACACAACAGCTTGCTGGGAAACCTGCTGGGATCTTCTACAGCACTGGATCTCAAGGCGGTGGACAAGAAACTACTGCGTAAATTCTCCATCTTTTATGTAACTAGAAAACATCCTAAATTTTTGGAAGCAAAAACCAAGTAATGTGTTGACAACTCTGTTTCTTTGAATTCTTACAGGTTGACTGCTATCACTCAGCTTGTTCACCATGGAATGTTATTCGTTCCCATTGGATATACCTTTGGAGCCGGCATGTTTGAAATGGAGAAAGTTAAAGGCGGAAGTCCTTATGGTGCTGGAACTTTTGCTGGTGACGGTTCAAGACAGCCATCGGAGCTTGAATTAGAACAGGCTTTTCACCAAGGGAAGTACATTGCCATCATCACCAAGAAACTGAAGGGAGTTGCCTGATCTCTTCCTGATACAGAAATACAGTTTGCATTCTTTCAGTTTTTTTCTTCTGCAGTAGAATTATCTACATATCATTTCTGTGTGATTGAAACTATCATTCTTGCTATGTTGGCACACAATTTGTACGTTGATGATGTTCAGTACAATGGTTTCTCTTAATGATTAAAAGTTTATTTGTCTAACAGTGTTAGTTTTGCGCTTTTGGTTCAAGATCATGGTACGATAAAATGATGTTCTGAAGTCCGTCATATTGAAAGTTAGATCGGTTTCCTCGTAACAATTTGTAGTCCATTTGATCGAAATTGAATTTGGGTTTTCTCTAGACAATCATACTTTCTAGGATGGGTTTAATGATCGTTCTTTTTGATGGTTTTCTAATTTTACTATGATTAATATTATATCTGTAACCTAATAGCAGAATAGTGAACATGTATTATTAAGGTTACTGATTGATTATGCTAGGAAATTATAAAATGGTCATTATTTATTGGCCTATAATTTTCTTCTTGTAGTGCTTTTATGTTGTCTAAGTGCAACAGACAATCATTAGCAAATTAAGATAATCTACTTGAAGTCCCAGTCATAGGGTAGTATGTTGGTTGGTGTTTTGGCATTGAATTGTTAATGCTAACATGATAGAAACACCATTTCACTTTGCCAAAAATTTAAAAAAATAAAAAATAAAAAAATAAATAATAATAATAATATAAAATTGTTCTTATAAAGTCGCTTTGAGTACTATTGTATCAAATATGCTTCGTGTATTATTTTTTGTTCAAGCTCGTGTCTTTTAGTCTAGTTTTGTCAAGTATACTTATTAGTGAGTGAATCCAGAATTTATTTACTTTTATCAATCGAACCATTAAAATGTCATGTGATTGACAATTGTCATTGAATTGAGTAAAATTGAAAATCCTATCTTTAGCATATGTATTGACAATCAAACAAGATCTATGTGAAATAATTTCATGTGATTAGGAAATACATTAAGTCATACAAAAGACAAATGCTAATTTCTTTTTGGGGTAATCTATGCTTAAAGGTAAAGATAGATAAAAGAAGACAAATAAATTCCATGGTACTTGATTATTAGCATTTGTGCATTTGTGTTCCATCCTATGATATGCTACTATCATTACATATCATTAATTATATATTTTGAGTTTATGAGAAAAATGATGTGTTAAGATGCACAAAAATAAGCTAGACTATTGAGGTTGGCAAGCCTTCAAGAAATAGGGTTCATGGCCATCGTATCTTGTCGTCTCGACACATTGCTTAGCACGTGGACAGTCACTAACACACGTGCACATTACACTTACTTTTTAGTCAGTTCGTATACATTTCGTTAATCACAATGCTGCCACGTAACATATAAACTACTGTAACAAAGGATAAGGGTGAGGTATACGCAACCTTGCTGGCAGCCGCAATGTGAGGGTTCGATTGCTGAAACATGGATTGAGACTCTTTGTGGGCACCAGTGTACATGCAGCTCTTGTTCCCTGACCTGCTTTAGCACATCTCGTGATTAATCTCTCCACGATGCTCCAGGAGTGGGACGGTGGGGGACCCTTAAGGTTGGGGTTCAATCCTTTTTTTTTTTTTACTGTAACAAAGCTTTGTCTATTTAAGGCTCAGAAGATGAGCTCATACTTCTCATCACCTTCCAATAGAAGCATTTTAATGTGACCATTCGATAAAAAGCACAAAGCCATGGTTGATAGCTTAGAATTGGTAAAATAAGAAACCAAGAAAACCTCTAGAAGTGGCGGTTGGGGGGGGGAGGGGGTGGGCGTATGGTGACATGGGCCAAGCCCTCACTTCCACTAACATATTCCAGACATAAACAATTGAAAAGTGAGGTTTCTAACGAAATGATCACACAACACACTCACTCACTCCTGTTCTGGAATTCAATTATTCCTTCATTTCTTTACAACTAAAGTAAATGCCAGCTCTTTGCACAAAACAGATTCAGAAACAAAAGCTTCTTTATCATCTAAATTCAGCTACAGACAACACATTCCTTCTAAACTAACACCAACACTTGCTCTCTTTTTTATACATCTATTCATCATTCCTAACCAATCCTTAATAATAATTCTTCAATTATTACAGTACTGTTATTAATTAAATTTTCATTTCCTGATTTTGTAATAGGGTTTGATAATATCTTCTTGTTGGCTTGATCTTGTGCTTCTTTATCTGAAAGTCCCTCCAAATGTAGGATTCCAAAAATCAGTTGTTGTTTCGTGTGTGACGGGGATAGTGCTAGAAACTGGCACTAAACATAGTCCTCGACTTTTAAGATCTTGCGCCTGCCATTGATCTGGATCGTTGAATTTATCCGAGTTCTGCAGAATATATAAAAAAAATGTTCAAGAATGGATAATTAAATTAGCTTAATATACTGAAGATCAAAAGAAATTGAATACCTGCTGGTGCTGTAAGGGGACTCCACTTTTTAAATATGGGGTACTTAACACCTGATACACAAATACACATATTTAGAACAATAATTATTAAGAATTTATTATACTGATTAATTCGGTTGAGTAGTTGAATGATATATACTTACATTGACTTGATCATGGAGATGCTTTATATATTCGATAGCTTCAGAAAGCACGGATGCCGTATCAGTCTGAGAAATAAAATTTATTTTTAATCAACAAGAAAAAATTATCTTAATTTAAGACAGAAACTTATCTTTCAGAAAAAGTAAAGTAATTTTTTTCTAAGTTACCTTTCCGAAAGGCGAAACTAATTGTTGAAGTGCAGTGACTCTGTCCCCCATCTTCTCTTTCCTTACCTACTCAAGAAAAAAACAAGGCTACATGTTCTTATTTGTTGTTATGTATGAAAAGAAAAGGTGAAACTTAAAACAATATCTTGTTCAAAACTTTATTATGCATACCTTCAAAGCTGGTAAAGGTGATGGTGTTTCGCTCCGAGATCTTTTATTTGACGTTTCGGTCGTGTTTTTCTTTGTTATCATACCGACATCTCGAGTTTCCATTGTGATCTTTCGGAAAAATAGACACAAATATTAGCATTTAAAGAAAAATAAAAGGGAAAGCCTAGATGAGCAGCCTATGCAGGCATATATTTGGACACCCTATTAATTACCTTTGGTTTTTCGTGAAAGGGAGGTGTTGGAAGTTGAGGTTGTAGGGACGGGAAGAAGCTCGGTCGAACGTCATCAATGGCAGCCGCAGATGCATTCCAGAAAGGAGTGTTGTTGGTGAAGTGTAGGTGGCCTGAGGGTGGCTGTTTTGGGGCGGATGCTCTCAAAAAAGGAAAAATTTTAGACCACGAAGGAAACAATTCGCCATTGGTGGCCCCATAGATAGTTGGATAAGGTCCTGGATAATTCATTGCCTGATTTTCATAAGTGGATTGATGGGGCTGATTATCGGATAATAACAAGCCATATGCAGCAGATTCCATCTGAAAACTAGTCGTTAAGCCCTGAGATATTGTTCCTCCAGTGTCGTTAGAGCTCACTTGGGAACTGTATTCTGGCTGGTCTAAAGAAAAACCCCGGTTTATTTGCTTAAAATCATTCATAACTGAAGAATTCTCAGCACAGTCGGAATATATTTTCTGCCCGGTCCGCTGGTCTTGAGAAGATGCTCCCCCAGCTTCTTGCTGAAAATTCGCATCTTCTTGAAGCATAGCCTTTTCACTTCTACAGTCCAAATTAACGCCAAAAAAAATAACCTATGTACCAATTCCATATTTTCATGCAAGAGAAAAGGCACCAAGAAACTAAAATTCATTAAACTACTTACAGTAAAGAGTGATTCCAGTCCATTCCTTGAGAAGAAAGGCCTAATCCCATCACTTGTAAATTGGCATCCCGCTCTTGCAACTTGGAAAATGGAAAAACTGATGAAGAATCCATGGAAGACCTTGGATTGATCTCGGACATTTCTGTTGGCCATTCAAAGGTTAATTTCTTGTTGTTACTTAACGTTGCAGAAATCGAAGATTGTGATGATGAAGTAGTGTCAAATCTGTTTCTTGATGTATCGCACCAGTTACCAGTACTGCCTAATTGAAATTCATCCGCCATGGCTGCTGCTGCTAAAAAGCTCAACTCCTTTCCTCTTTCAATTAATTGATTATTTTCTCTGTTTTTGAGTCAGATGCTTATGCTTCAAGCCTCTTTCTCCTTTTTAACTTTCTCTCTAGCTTTGATGTTCTTGGCTTGAATTTATAAAAAGGAAAGTAAAGTATTAAACCGAATCGCAGCATCTGGTATTTATACTGTCAAGCAAATGAATAAACGGCTAAAATTTGGTTGGCTTAATTGCTAAGACTGATTATTAGACAAATGAAAAGAAAGGTACATTTTATTTTGGCAATTTTTGGATATATAGTTGATATTAGAACTCGATGAAACGGTTTAAATTTTATCGTTATCTATTTATAAAAGTGCGTATTCAATGTGTTTAAATTTTTAGATGACGCTAAATACTTTTAATCCCGTCCCTAATAAACTTATATAGATTAAAACAAAAAGTTATTTAATCTGCTCATTTTCTTTTATTTTCTTGATCTAACTATTCTAAGTGCATTAGTAATTCATTCGACTTCTGAGCTCGTATTATTGAGAAAAAGGGTTCACATCATTTCCACGAAAACTAATCTGTATGCAAAATCTAAGATATCAAATTGTTTATTGCAAATTAAATTAAAGCTTTAATGATTCAATTATTTGGAGCAAATCATTTGTTATTAAGGATGGTGGTTTACTTTTGTCACATATTTGGAGTCTCTATTGTTTGTCGCAAGAAAATTTTTGAAAATGGGATTGTATAATTTTCACAATAAGAGGCATATGGGTGAACTTTTTCATTCTTGTTCCACAACAATAAATTAAATTTTATTTCCACTAAATTTAAAATATTATTTAAATTCTTTTTCGTCACACTATACTAGAATGTTCAATATAAATAGTTCATTGCACCCACAATAATAATATTAATTTAGTCCACGACTTTTTGTCTAATATATCGTATTAGGATAAAACATGTATTAATGTCTACGTATTTATCATTTTAAAATATCTGAAAAATATGTATCACAAGAAAACTTTTACAAATGTGACTATGTAATTTCCACAACAATTGATAATTTTTGCTAAAGTTAGTGAATCTTCTTATTACAAAAAGTAATTCTTATTTTCAATAATTTTGAGATTGAATTCATAAATATTTCTTCCTATATAGGGTTGTCTGATAGATACATGAATTTGATTATAAAATCATGCTTGTCTCTTGGAGAGAAGTGAATTATCAAATCGAGAATTGCCACTATTCCGTGTGTTGATTTGAATCTTATCGAATCAAATTACTTGTTTGAAATTAATAGGCACTGATATTATGCTCTTGTTTGAGCTTCATTTTTTCATTAAAATACATTATTCAACAGTGAGTTGAAATTATTTTAACCACGCATTTTTCTATAAAATAATATTACACACAAACCCAAAATTTTTCCTTATTTTTTAATCACACATTCCCTATTATAACACTATTTCAAAATTGCATTTTTCTAAAATAAAGGGGGCTCGAACAACCCCTAAGATCAAAACTTGTGGTTCCATCTGAAAAGATTAATTTTGTTAAGAGAAGTAACTTTAATCTTTATACTCATTTGAGTATTAGTTAGAACGAATGTTCGTTGAAGCTCAAAAAACTCTATTAACATATTGAGTCTTGGCTTCAATCTTGAAAGGTACCTTGTTATGAGGAATTGTCTAAGAACTTACATATCGGCTATAATTTTGATATTTATTCCATGTAGTATTTATCCTTAAACAACATGAACCTAAAGCATTCCTCTTTGTAACTAATATTTGCTCTTTATTAAACCTTGTTATCTTCTCTCCATATATAAGAAATTTAAGTTATACTTAAAAGTTTTTTGAAAAAGTAGAAAGTCGTTGGTAAAAAATAGTTTCAATGTATTTTGACAAATAGAATAACTTGAAAGTAAATTTAACTTATGTAAAAGCACGCCATAACCAAACACTTACATTTTGCTAAGGTTTAAAAGTATGATTAGAAGCAAAGTTAGCTGAAAGTATCAAAATAGATAGATTTTCTCTCTTTAATTTGGCGTGATATAATCCAAATGGTCAATTCTTTTCCCCCAAAAAATGATGACAGATGGAAATGGTCAACTGAGTGGAAGGTGGCGGCGGCGGCAGGCGGTGACTGTGAGCAAGATGGAAGAGGGACATTCAACCGGGGGCGTCACCTGCGTTTTGACCTAAAGTCAACGAGAATGGCCCACACGGTAAGCACGCGTGTGGGTACAGGGTCCTAGATTAACCTTTGAGTCAGAGCCCGAGAGCTCTGCTCTGTGGCTCAGAATTTCATCCACTTAAAATCATTTCAATTTAGCCCATGTTTGGTTACAATTACTTCATGATTTTTTTTTTTGTCTTCTCGAACTCATTTTCAATCACATACTTTCAAAAGAATCAATATTTCAAGAAATCATTTTCCCTTAAAAAATCTTTTACGAGGGAGATATTTTCCCAGAGTTCACATTGCACCAACTTGAGCTTTCTATTTTTTATTTTTTATTTCTTCATGTTCTTCTTCTTATTTTTTAGGAGTTTTTGACTTTAAAAGATTGAATAATCATGAGATATTCATTCATAAGACATAACACGTTTTCTTCCTAACATTCTCATAGAGTTAAGTAAAGTAGAAAAATAAAGCTAATTTCTTAAAATTCCCCACCATTTATTTAATTCTAGAAATAAAAATTGAATAAGTAGAGATATTATAGTTTTTATCATAGAAAATATTACTTGAATTTATACACCAAATATATCAGTTTACGCATTAAATGTTATCACTGCATCAAAACCTCCTCCTCCTTTCACTTGGAAAATATGTGCA